AATTCGGCTTAACTCAGCACAATTGTTTAGTGAGAGCCACTTTGTGTCCAAGAATCTTCCAGAACCCTTTTATAAGCCCCTTAAACAACTTTCCTTCTAACCAGGAAGTGTGTTTTGTCAGAAGTAAATTGAACTCAAACGCCCAAATAATTCAAATTTGGTTCAGAACTCAGAATCCCCAAATTTTTAAGAGGGTTGGAAAGTTTACAAACAAATATTCATGTCACTGAGGAAGTCCGGTGGCGGTACTAAGATGTGTAGAGTATTACAAGTGAGATGCAGTGATTACATATGGTGACATTTTATGTGCTTTAAAGCCAAAAGTCTGACTTCTTGCTGCCTGGATCAAGTGCTGGCCTGGTCAAGCAGCTTCCAGGTCTGGGTGGCCCAGGACCCGTGCAGTCCCATCAGCTTTCTGAGTGTTGGTACCTTCCTCAGCAGGCTGGAGAGTGAAGCCGCAACAGCTAACACCCACGGGCACCATAGAAAGGTGGGCTACCTGCCCAGCCCCATGAGGGCCTTTGCAACAAAAGGTCTCTCTTCCACAGATAGGACCTCACCATCCAATTTAGGCAGTTAAATCTGTAGATGAATCAATGAGCTAGCTTCGTTTATTCTATCCCAGGGTTAGTTTTGTCTTTTCAAAAAATTTTACTGTAAACCTGAGCACAGAATGTTCAGAGCATTTGATTAAAGCCAAAAAAGTACAGATGGTGATAAGACTTTTTTTAAACGTGCTGCTCTTTCTATACAAACATGACATAATTATTCCAGTTGAGTTTAGGAGTTTGTTTTTCTAGTCATGGTGTTGGGGCATGGTTTAAATAGCCAGCTGTGTCACTTAGTAATGAGGTTCAGCCACATGTAGCAGAAAGCCCAAATAGCAAGCTTAAATAAGACAGGGATTTACACTTTGCTCACATGTAAGAAATCCAAGAAAGGAAATCCAGAGCATAAAGCCTAGTTCCAGGGTCATCAAGGACTTGGGCTCTTCCTGTGTGCCTGCTCCAACCTCCTTACCATACAACTTCCATTCTCAGCATTGCTTTATGGTCACAAGACGGCTGATGGAGGCCCAGCCCTCATGTCTATGTTCCAGGCAGCAGGAAGAAAGAAGAGCCTTTCAGCTGACTCAGTCCCATGTAACGAGCTTCTTTAGAAGCCCAAACCAAAGACTTTGGCTTATATCTAATTAACAACTACTGTCTACCAGAGAGGCTGGAAAATATGTTTTATCAAACCACATTGCTGCCTTCAATAATATGAAGTTCCACCAGCAAGAAAAACGTGAAGAACTGGGTGGTCAACCAGTTGTCTCTACCTTACCTGCCATGCTCTCTCCTGCCCTTTTCATAACTCTTAATCACAGCAGTTATTGGTAGAAGGCAGACCAGGAGAAAATCCTGGTAGCCATGAACTGTCAGGCTGAGTGTGTGAGACCTAATCAAGGCCTGATCCACAAAGATTCTGATGTGTCTTCTTTGCTTTTAGGTACTTAGTTCTCTGCCTCCGCCTGGACTAAAACTGATTTACCCCAGATCAATATTGTGTGTGGAAGATCTTCCCTCAAGGCCAGAAAGGACTAGAGGGGCTGGAGGGGTTGGGTGTCAGCTGGCTCATCTTCCTCAGGCCTGGGCGTTCCTGCCTCTGGTGTCATCACTGATGAAATCTTGCAGGAAAGCAGATGTGTTTACATGTTCCCTGAGGAGAGAATGATGTAGTAGCATGGGGGTCTTAAGTTACAGGGAGCCTGAAAGGCAAGTAGTCCCCTACTCAAGTCAAGTTTGGGCAACATTGAACAATACACATGAAACGTGGCATCCACTCCATTGACACCAATTGGGAGGTGCTCGCAGTAAAGTCTTTCCTCACCCCATCAGCCCAGTTTTTAGCCAAGCAAACTGATGTGAGGTCACCTGCACTGAAGGGCCACACTGTTTCCCTTCTTTAGAGAACCGCCTTCACCCAAGGAGCCTGGCTTTCCATGAAAGGCTCCCACATGCCCAGGTCCTGGAGGCTGACGTTGACTCCTGGGTGCTGGGTAAGGTGAGTGGCCTGTGGGAGGCAGCTCTGCAGCTGGCCACCAGCTCTGGAGGTGCTGAGGGCCCTCAGCAGGCCTCTGGGAACCCCTAGTAAGGCTTAGGTACCAGACTGGAAATGAGGTAAAACAAAAAGGGGTTCGATTATTATCATTCTCCTTATCATTATGAATTACATTTGCTACAGACCTCAATATCTCCTACAAGGTTTATGCATTTAAAAATGAATTAGGTTGAGATTTTGGAGGGGGTGGAATATCTAACTTAAATTTTATCTCAGTCTTTTATCTCATCTTTATTCATGATTATTTTTATTAAATGTTCATCAAACTAGTAAGCCCTCAGCATGAGATGTCCTGGACTTATATAATTTGAGATGCCAAGAAGCCAAGCAGCAGACAGCAGTAGCACCACCACAGAGTTGAATACAAAATACAAATGCTATTTTTACAATGAAATTAGCAGAGCGACTATTGCTTGACCAGGGAAGTTGGCGGAAGCCAGAGAGAAGCCAGGGAGACTTGCTAACTTCCCAGAAGAAAGCCTACTAAGAGGAATCAATCTCAAGGAAGAATAGGAAAATGAGGAGCTGGCATGTATACAGCACTTTACAGCTTATAAAGCACCATTTTCTTACTTTAGCTTCCCTAAACACTATAAAGTGAGATTATTTTATGGAAAAAGAAACCGAAGCTCAGAGTGAAGTGTACAACCGAAGGGCACACAGCTGGAATCCGGGTCAGGGATGTGGTCAGAAGGGTTGGGCCTCTAAAGCCTTAGATGTTCAGACAATCCCCCTGCCGCCCAGACATCCAATGGCTGATAATGGGAGAAAACAGTCCTTCCTCCTTTCCTGGCACCTATAGTCACCACCTCTGAGGCTGGTACCTAAGGGTTTGATTTCTATACAAGGCACACCTGGAGGGATGCTGCTATCATTTTGCACCTATACGTTTGCTGTGCTCTCTGCTGCCCCAGTGACATGGGGCCACAATAGACAGGTGTTGCCCTTGGTGAAAGAAGGGTGCAGAGGAAGGTAAGAGAAATCCCTCCTCCACACCCTGCACCATCCACCCACACACAGTCTGGCCTTGGTTCCTCCACTGCAAGTGATGTCTGGTACAAGTATCTGTATGCCTCTGTTTACTTACCCGTAAAATGGGGAGAAGAGCATCTTGCTTTCATCCCTCCTACTGAGTGGCAAGAGGGGAGCAGAGGTAGCCTGCTGGTCTGAACAAATCTCGAGCCAGGCCCATCCTCCGAACCTGCTCTCTGGGAGCCGCCTCCTATGGCTGAGTACCCCACTCTGATCCCAGGTTCCCAAGATCATGTGGATGGATGTCAACAGGAGGAGCCACAGGTGAGGTTGTTGGCCCCCAAGGCCAACTGCTGCTGGTCAGGAGGGTCTGCCTCCAGACCCTGCAGGCCCTGCTGGGCCCATGCACCCAGACGCTGGGGCTCAACATCCAGGTAGAGGCCCTGGCATGAGCCATCTGCCCACATGTTTCCAAGAGGCCTGAGTGGGGGCCACAGGGCCAGCCAGGCAAGACAGGGAGCCCAGGGACTTGCAGGAGCAGCTAAGGAAAGAGACAGCATTGTTCTGGGACTCATCAGTGTCAGTAAACCTGGCATCAAGAACAGACTCACTGTTGTCGGTCAGCCCCGGGGGACCCATTATCCCCTTTCCCTGCTTCACCTGTGCATTCTAAGCCACAACAGCATAGGACCCTTTCATTCCCAGAAGGCAGGTGGTCTGATGACAGGTTTGCAAAAGTTTAAAAGCTTATTCCACTATCCAGGACACTCAGCAGCATTGCAGTGAGGAAGGAGAGAGAGGATAGAGATGGACACTGAGAGCCCCAAAACAAACAGAAGGAGCCTCAGGACAGTAAGGAGTGTCCACATTGCTTGACACTTGAGATTACTCACAGAAGGAAATGGAGTGAGGGGCTGAGGGTTCTGGGGATTAAACCACTGCTTTTGTCCTCCAGTTGGTGCCCCACATCATCGTTCCAGAAACCTGAGGGATGACATACATGAGAAGCTGCTTCCATGTCTCAGATAGGACCTGGAGCAAGTCCCTGGCTTTGGTGGAACGTTTGAGAGGAGCTGGACGTGCTTCCTTGGCAAGTTGAGCAACCTACGCGATAAGCGCTTCAACACTTAAAGCTGCAAAGATCTCACGTGCTTTCTCTTTTGTTTATTATTTTGTAAAAAAAAATAAGGTATAATGTATGCCTTAAAAAAAGAAATCAGAACAATTGCATCCCAGGGCCTCGGGCTGGGGCCCCGCTGTGAGCCTGTGAAGGTCAGGGGCCTGGCCGCGCTGGGACGCCACAGCACGGGGAAGGAAGGGCCAAAGGCTTTTCCTTAGCCTTCTGCCCCTCGGCGTGTGACGCCCAGGGCCGGGGGAGATTCCGCGCCCGCTTGCCCGCAGTCCCGGCACGGGCCGAATGGGGCGCGGCGGACGTCGGTCCTGCAAGCCCGGCCCCGGCGTCTGGACTCTAGGCCGAGGCACGTGGGCAGCGACGCGGGGCCTCCCCGCGGGGTCCCCGACCCCGGACGCGGCGCAAGGCCCTCAGCGGGCGGGCGGGAGGGCGCGCCTTCCCGGAGCGCGGGGCGCGGACCGAAGTTGGGCGAGTGCACGGAGCGTCAGCGGGCCGGGGGCGGCAGGTGCCGCGGGCGGACTTGCCAGCCAGCCCAGCAGCCCCGCGCCCCCGATTCCTGCCCCGGCCCGCTGCCCGAGTCCTGGGACTTCCGGGGCCCGGCGGCGTTTCGGGAGCTCTTCCAAGGGCAGCCTCCCGGGCGGGGAGCGCGCGGCGCGGTGGCCGGGCTGGGGGTGGCCGGGCTCCCGCAGGGGCGGCGGGCGGGGTGGGGTGAGGCGGGCCGGCCCCCTCCCCTCCCGCCAGCCCTCCCTTCCTCTAGTCCTGCAGCCAATTAGACAGCCCCCTCGGGCGGGAGGCGTGGGGCGCTCCATAAAGCGGCGCGGAGCTGTCACCCCGCGAGTAGGCTGCGCACCGCCCAGGCCGGAGCAGGCGCCGAAGACTCGGGCGCTTCGGACCCGGGAGCGTGGAGGAGCCATGGCCACCACCAACGGGGCCGTGGAGAACGGGCAGCCGGACAGGAAGTCTCCCACCGTGCCGCGCCCCGTGCGCAACCTGGAGGTCAAGTTCACCAAGGTGAGACGGGCTCGCGTCCCACCCGACGGCCGCCTGGCTCCGCGCTGGGCTGCCCGGCCACGGTGGCGGGGACCAGGGGTCAGCAGGCCGGGAGCCCCGCTGCTCCGCTCCGAGAGTGCGGGGAGCTGGGGCGGCACGCCCTCAGCTGAACTCGCCCGGCGCTCCTGTGACTCGAGCCTCTCCGCTCAGCCGAGCCCTCCCGAAGCAGCGTTCAGCACTGGGCATGCCGGGCGGGAGTCCACCGCGCACCCCAAAAGGGACTCCAAGATCCGCACCCCCAGACGGGCTCTCGGGTGCGAAAACCGGGCGAGGGAGGCTCTGCAGCGGCCGCGCGGTGCCAGGCTGAAGCCCGGTGCGGCCCCGACGTGCCCCTGCAGGGCCCGCTTTGAAGGCGAGCGGTGGTGCGCCGTGACTTGGGCGCGGTGGTCTTCCCGCAGACCCTGCGGCGTAGTTTCCGGGGCTGAAGGGGTCGGGCTTCGAGAAGGTCAGAGGGTCCCTGCAAACACCAAGAGCCGACCTGAGAGGTCAGGCTGCCTCGGGAAGTGTCCGGAAACGTCAGCGGGAGAAAGCGGAGAGAAGTTGGGCACCTCCTGTGCTTAGCTCTTACCAGCTTACCAGTAGAACGAGGGCTAGTAGGAAGGTGCTCACTGATGAGACTGTCCCGGAGCCCAGAGACCTTGGTCTTGTCAGATCATGGTCTCAGATCTGGGCCTGGGAAACCGCGGGTGGCAGGGCCCCATCGCGCCGCGGAGTCCCGAGGCTCGCTGTCCTTTTTGCGCTGTGGGCTAGGAGGCTGGAGCACCGACAAAGCGGTGAGAACACCTGCCTAGGGCAGAAAGGAAGATGGCGAGGCCTGGAGCCCGGGCTGAGCAGGACTGGGAGCTCTGTTGCCAGCAGGGAGCGTGTCCCCTCCGGTGGGAAGACACCCCGAGGCTGTTTGGAGGCCGTTGGGCTGGCTCTGGGGGCACTTCAGGGGTGCAGGCCAAGAGCCACGGTTGGCTTCATTTTGCCCAAGTTTGTCTCCTTTTATTTTTGCATCTTATCCATTGCCCCCAACTCCAGCTGACATAGCACTTAGAAAATTCCTCCATCAATTTTACTTTCACAAGTAGCAATTATGCCTCTCAAATAGTTTTAATCAAGCAGAGAAAGTTGTGGGCCACTATGTGTGGCCTTCAGATTTTGATCTCTTGGCGCTTATTGTCGGCTGGACCTCTGATCACATGACATTAAATTAACTGTTTCCAGAGGGCTCTGTAACCAACAGAGACACTTCGATGGAGATTATTTTTAATGTAGTTTCCTAAGTAGTATCAGCTTCAAAGTGCAAATTCCAACTCATATTCTGGGAACAGTGAAAATAGTACCTAAATTTTTTTAGCCCCTAACACTCGTGGTGGTCACCTGTTGTTGGTGGTAGTAGCGTTTTGTTTTATTTTTGTTTTATTGGATTTTAAAAAACAGTATAGAAACCAGAAAATACATATATTATTTTCCTATTCCTTTTTACCTTTTTTTAGTGCTATCAGAGCAATGGAGCCACCTATGTAAAGTTACCTCTCTGTCTGCAGTTCTTTCTGCCCCTTCACAAGTGTAAATGCAGCCTTTAAGTAGAGAGGTGGATTTTAGCACATTCACAGAGTGACCGGTGTTTGTTGTCCTGCTGGGTGCCCCCTCTTCTTAGTGGAACAGAACGGGTTGTGACTAAGGCTGAGGGAAGGGCATGAGATGGAGGGGGCTGGAGAGCCAGGGTCCTTAGTGGCTCCTAGGCAATGATGACTGCGGCAGCCTGACAGTAGGCTGCTGTACCCTCCTTTCATCTGGAGGGCAAGGCCTCTGTCTCTCTGTCCTTGCTCCAGGCCCATCTCCACAGAGGCCTCCTCCTAGCAGTTGTGGGGTTGGGGCAGCCTGTGTGGTTGTGACTGAGGGTGGGGAGCCCAGGCAAGCAATGCTTAGGGAGCCCCTGGCTGCAGAGGCAGCCCACAGGGCTGAGGAAAGAAGCGGGAGAAACAGAACTACAGTATCGAGGCCCCCCGAGGCCCCCGAGGCCCCCTGGCTGTGGAGTGTGTGAGCAGTAACAGTCTGTTATTTTTCAAACCTGACTCATGGTGCTTCTTGTTAATGGAGGACAAGCTGGAAATGGTGGGTCTGAGCCCCAGCCTTGGGGGACCATTTCCCAGGGTAAGTCCAGACTCCAGAAGGACGAAATTCCTTTGTTCTCATGTTTTAACACTGGGCTCTGCTCTGTGATTTTGGTGAGGGGGGGTCCCCCCAAAACCCCCACATAGGTCTCAGAGGGTAGCAGCCCCTTTCACTTCATAGGGCCCCTTCTTTTCCTTCCAGTAGCAGAAATTCTTTTTTAAGATTTTCTGGCTCATTAAAACACTGGTTTTTATGATCTCTTTAATGAAAAATAAAATTCACTCAGATTTCCTTTTCTGAAAATATGCTCCTTTTGAGTATAGCTGAGGTCCAATGGAAGTTTCTGTAAGTGGCGTCAGCAAAACTAACTTGTGTGACCACCACCTTCGCCTCTTCTGGGGCATCCGTATCTTGATAATAGCTGTGGTTTTCCAGCTCAGTCTGGATGGTATACCATTCCATTCCTTCAAAATGTGAGTCCCATCCACTCAATGTAACATAATTTTATTCCTCTTTAAGTTTTGTTTCATACCAATTCACAAGTCAAGGGGAACAGTTTTTTTCTAGACCCATTTTCCTGTTTTGGGGTTCAAAACAATACAGCCAGCATAATTGGTAGGCCACACTTACCCCTTCCTCATTTGTGTTTTTGTTTACTTTTATTGGAGAGAAAAAGCAACAGTAGAAACCACTTACAAAATTACTTACTAATGTAGTATAAAGAAAAAATTTTTGCTAAATTAGAAACATTGTGATGGGAAAATATGAGTAGAGTTGAGCCGTCTGAATTTTTTTTAAGTTGCTGGTTAGAAAGGACTACGGATCAATGTCATGAACGACCAAGTAATTTTTTTTTTTTTCTTGGAGGAGCATGCTTGGAGATGAAGTATAACAGACATCTGATCATTGCAATCTGTTTTTATCCCCTTATTTATATTCTCTTCTACCACCTTCTCATTTTCCCTCCTCCTTGGAATTGATACCAGGAAGGTCCTAGAATCAGCAGTTTTCACTGACAGTCTCTATTATCTAACCCACGAAATTTCATCTTCCGACAAATGGGCCTCTCTTCCTGGCTGCACTTTCCTCCCCATGCTAACTTAACTCCTCTTCTCTACTTATTAATTTCTCACTGTTACCGAGTGATTGCTTGCTGGATGGCAAAAGTGAACTCTTGGATTTGGTTTCAGCTGGAAGAATAAACCTGTAATTGTAGCCTGGCCTTTTCCGCGCGCTTCCCTGGGGGCCTGGCTTCACGTTGAAGGCGCTGAGCTTCCAGAAGTCAGATGGGCACATCCCACGGTCGAGGGTCACTGTCAGCTCTGGATCCCACACAGGGAGGCAGGGGCCCTCTGCCCACCTGCCCAGCCAGAGCTGGCCTTCTGTGCATTGTCCCCACCGCAGTCAAATTTCCCTGCTTTCCAGGGAGAGTTATCAAAACAGTGCACCAGTGGCTTCCCAGAGCGGGCTTCCTTCCCTGTGAGCTTAGGATTTTTTACAGGACAGCCCAGGACAGAGAACATAGTCAGTTGCACACTGGATGAGTTGGCTCCCCTCTAATCCATCCTCACTGGGGAGTCAAGTATTCCGAATGAATGAAATTCACAGTCATTGAAATTAATCCTTGTAGTGATGCAATTCTCCCTTTAAATGACTCAAAGATATGCATATAGATATAGAGATAGAATAAATGCGTATAGAGATGTGCATATAAACATATGCATATAGATATAGAGATGGAATCTGATGAGCTAACTCTGTACTTAGAAATTATTGATGGCATTTTACTTGATGGAAATGCTTCTAAAGCATATCAGTCATGTTTGCGACTGGGGTCTCTCTGATGCCACGATGGGCTCTGATGACAAAGTTGTCCCAAGCTGGTACAGCAGGAGATTGCCTGTCCTCTCACTAGGTAGCCAGGACCTCCATTCTGTCAGAACATGTTTTATGTATTATCTGTCACCTCTGTTCCTAGTTCTTTCCCAAAAGCCGGCTCTTTTAATGCTTTTTTAAGGCAGTTAGAACTTAGGGTAAACTAAGAGTAAATAGTACACACATTTCAGTGCATGGACTTGTGAATTCTTTTTAGTTTGCTCATGATGTCTTTTTCTTTTTAATGTCTCTATTCTCAGCTGTGTTCTAGATAACTGAGTCTCTGAACTAAGTGATTTTTGTGAGTTAATTCTTTGGTTCTGGATATAAGCCGTTATTTGCTACATATGTTAATATAACCAGAACATTTCCTAACACAGATATTTATCTTTGTATTCCAATACTGGCTTTTATTAAGCCCAACATGAAAATAGACATTTTAAAGGGAATGGGGGAGGGGGGCTGATGTGCATTAATGAGGGCTAAAGGGTTATAGTAAGATCCTTGTATAATGCCAGTTCCTTGGTGATCTAGCTGGGGCTTGCAGCAGGAAGGAGGGAGAAGGTAGTGCTCACTGCTGACATACTTTTCAGGGACAGGTGGATTTCTTGGCACCATATATATATGTGTATATATATATATATATATATATATATACACACACACACACACACACACATATATATATACATATATATATGCATATTTAATCTTCCCCCGAACTTGCTGAGTGTGTAAAATTCAACTTATACCCTTTATGTAACTAACCCTGCTGTTTCTCTGTGAATCCATCTTATTGTTTAAAAAAAGAGAGAGAGAGCTTCCCTGGTGGCACAGTGGTTGAGAGTCCGCCTAACGATGCAGGGGACACGGATTTGTGCTCCGGTCCGGGAAGATCCCACATGCCGCGGAGCGGCTGGGCCCCGTGAGCCGTGGCCGCTCAGCCTGCACATCTGGAGCCTGTGCTCTGCAATGGGAGAGGCCACAACAGTGAGAGGCCCGCGTACCGCAAAAAAAAAAAGAGAGAGAACATTTTAGAAAAAAATTCTAAATTAGTTTTATTGTGACAAAATGTAGTTCTCTGAAAATGTATTAAAAGTCAGGATACTTGGATTCTAATTCTGAGTGTGCTCCCGGTTGGGCATGTGGCTCCATCCCCCTTCCAGGTCCTACCTATAAAAAAGGCAGACAGGTAGGTTGGAGGGACAGAAGGAAAAGACGTTACCTAAGGTCCTCAGTATGTTGGAATTATATGATTTTGATTTAAGCCTAATGCATTACAACTTCCTTTCCTGGTTAGATATTCATCAACAATGAATGGAACGAATCCAAGAGTGGAAAAAAGTTTGCCACATATAACCCTTCAACTCTAGAGAAAATATGTGAAGTGGAAGAAGGAGATAAGGTGGGTGCCCCCCCTCCAGTAATTCAATTACAGATCACTAGAGGAAAAGGAAACGCTTCAGCTGAGTTATAAGGCAGAACTGGCCCACACTGAGGTTGGACCTAAGCGAGCTGCTTCTCAGACACTTGGCCCAGAATGGGATCAATTAGGGACGATGTGCTGCAGAGTCACTCTCCTTTGATAGATGTTTCTCCATCTACGAGGATGACCTCAGCTATCCTTATCACGTGGCTTAAGGAAAGGTTTTTATCAACTGTTTGATACTGGTGGCATTAAATAATCTTTCCAGAAAGCATTTCCGGCTGTTGTGTTTCACCAAATGCAGCATTCTGGCAGGAGACACTTTAAAAAAAAAAAAAAAAAAAGACTTGAAGGAAGAACGACTTGCTAAGTCATGCAGAAGTAATAATGTCATGCAACTGCCAGATTTCTTTTCTACCAGAAACTTAAATTATCTTGTAAAGCTATAGTCTATAACCGTATTTGATAGTGCAGGGTATATTTTATAAGCTATATTATATGTATACATTATATATGATATATATTATTATATATAAAGCTAAGGGACTTCTGGAGGTGTCCTTGATACATTTCAAACCATAAAGTATCTTTTGAATATGTATCATTGGGGAAAAGGTTGACGGTACCGCTTTTGTAAGGAGCGAAAGGAAACGTAACCCTCTCCTCAACCACTAGAGTACTCATCTGATGTTCTTAAGTGTGTAGGTAATGTTGAATGTGAACAGGGTGAATGACACATGTGTAAAATAGGCTTGAATTTGATCCTACTAGTGATGGTTTTGTGATAGGTATGCAATGCAGAGTGTTTCCACCTATACATACCCTCCCATGTGCAGCGCCCCATGCTAAGCTCTGTTTACAAAGATACTAGCACTGAGGAGCTCGTGTGAAGATGTGAAGGTGTAGGGGTGGAGCATGATGCAGAGCAGGACTCCCAGGTGCATTATACAGGTATCAGGGAGGAGAGTAAGATCCCTGCCCCTGGCTCTGGCTTGTCCCATGGTCCCAGTGACTGTTCCAAGCACCAGAAGACAGAGGCTGCCCTGTTCCTGCATCTGGAGAGGTCCTGGCCTCCACCCCAGAGCCTGGGACAAGGAATTCAAAGACCTAATATCTCCCTTGCCAAAGCTTCTGCTCACCTCCAAGCCCACTTTGGAGACACAGAATCTTGGTGGAGTGTCCCTCTTGACTGGTGCCAGGTGTCCACTGCTGGCTGCACCTCCCTAAGGAAGAGAGGCTCAGAGGGACCTGGGGGGTGAGCCCCTGCCCATCAGCAACCAGAGCCTCAAACCCCATTTTCCTGAACATAAGAATGGGTGTCAGGGAATTCCCTGGCTGTCCAGTGGTTAGGACTAGGCACTTCCACTGCAGGGAGCCTGGGTCTGATTCCTGGTTGGGGAACTAAGATCCTGCATACCTCGTGGCATGGCCAAAAAAATAACAATAAATAAAAGTTTAAAAAGAATGGGTGTCATTACTCTAAACAGCTCTCATTCTTTCCCAGTAAAGAAGAAGTTTTGATTGTAATTCTTCTATCAGTGCATAGATTATCCAGTTCTTTTTCTATAAAATCATCACAGTTCTGCCCTCAGAGGGTAGCTGAGGTGAGGCTAAAGGGAGAAAAAGTCCCTGATCCTCCCCATCTAGGGACTTTTTCAGTGTGGTCAGTTCTGAGATCCAGAGGAGGACTCGTACCCCCGTTCTTGCTATTGGACTGCAGTCCTCAGCTGGAGTAAAATGCCAAGACAGACATTTCCCGCCTAATTGGTGAGCTGTGGGAGTGTGTTTGTATCCACACTGAGATAGCAAATAGATGATCTTTTCCTACTTTGGTCACCAAGAAAAATAATTAAGGTCAGTGGTTTTTTGACTATTTTAAACGCTTTGCATAATCAGAAGGAAAGTTAATCTTTGGCCATTGTAGAAAACTTGAAAGACTTAAGATATAAAGAAGAAAAAAAACACTTGAAAGCCCCCAGCCATTAAAGTGATTGGAAACCTAGCTTTTGCTCTGAGCCGCCTGCCGCCCCTCCTTCCTCTGCAGCGGGCGGAGACTCTGCAGTTCTCTGACAGCTGAGCCCTCAGCAAAAGGTGACACACTCTCTCTATTGTTTCGGCCATGCAGCTCGACGTAGACAAGGCCGTGGAGGCTGCACAAGCCGCCTTCCAGAGAGGCTCGCCGTGGCGCCGGCTGGATGCCCTGAGCCGCGGCCGGCTGCTGCACCAACTGGCGGATCTCGTGGAGAGGGACCGCGCCGTCCTGGCTGTGAGTACATGCACACAGGGGAGGCGTGGGGCCAGCCAGCCTCCCCGAGGGCCCACCCCCCTCAGAGTGTAGGAGAAAGGACCTAGGGTGTTGTTTTGTGTGGCGGTGTTTTGGTCCTCTGAGGTGTGGCTTTCCGGCCATAGGCAGGCGTCTATGCTACTGGACGCATACTTTTTGTTTTGAAGTCGGACTTTTGTCCCCTGCAGCTCATCTTCTTGGCCTGGAGGAAGTTCAGCTCCATTAGTGGTTCCCAGACTTGAGATGTTCACAGACAGCTAGGCTGGGCTGGGCTGTATCCTGGACCCACCTGCACAGTTATGAACTTAACTTGTTTTCTTACGTGAACTCCCTTTTAAAGTGAAATTTAACCTCATCCTAAGTGACAGTATCCATGAAATTACAGGTTTAATGTGGTGGTGTATTTTTTCTAATACTTATTAAAATAAATGCTACCACTTGACATAGAAAAAGTGTCCCCATATAGCTTAAAAATCACCCCTATTTCACCCCTGAAATGGGCAGTGGTGAGTGTGTGTGGAGTGATGGTGAGGGCAGGATAACCTAGTTATAGGAAACCTCAGAGTATGGAAGACCTAGGTTCAAACCCCAGCTCTGCCACTTACTAGCTGTGTGACTTTGGACAAGTTGCTTAACCTCCCTGAGCATATGTTTCTTCATGGACAATATCACAAATAATGACATCTGAGTCTTGTGAGAACGATCCATTTAAAATCCTTAGCAGTCCCTGTCATGCAGTAAGCACTAAATAGATGATAGCTATTATTAGTAATGCTATCTCGGGCTTCCCTGGTGGCGCAGTGGTTGAGAGTCCGCCTGCCGATGCAGGGGACACGGGTTCGTGCACCAGTCCGGGAAGATCCCACGTGCCGCGGAGCGGCTAGGCCCGTGAGCCATGGCCGCTGAGCCTGTGCGTCTGGAGCGTGTGCTCTGCAACGGGAGAGGCCACAACAGTGAGAGGCCCATGTACCGCAAAAAATATATATATATATATATATAATGCTATCTGAAGACCCAGGTTCTAACCTCAGCTACTTGTTCTCCTGGCCAGCAAATTTCTAGCACCTTAGTTCCTCAGCTGCAGAACGGGGATCTTTATTCATCCCACTGCATGAGGTTGACCTGCTCTCATGAGATGGGCTATGAAGACATTTAGGAGTTGTAAGTACAGAATTGAACGAGATCCTCAGACCTTCTTTTGGTCTTGCGGTGGGTGCCTGATCAGAGGAAATCTTGGGGCCCCCTTGTGCCTTGAGGTCCTTTGCAGCCTGCACATGCAGCCCTCATATGGCTCAGACTCCTGTGTAAAACTTGCCCCAGACCTGGAGGCCCAGCTGGTAGGAAAGGAAATCTCCTTTTTGGTCTCTGATTTGGAAAAATGGTTTTTTCCTTTCTTGATCTGATGCTGGGAATGAGTAGTCAAGTGGACACCTGCGTGGAAGTCAGTGCCAGCTAGGACTCTGAAATTGCTCTTGACCCTGAGTGTGTGTCTTGGGGTGGAGGGTGGAGAAACTACATTTCGGGTGCTCCTCTGGGGTGCGTTGCCCTGAGGGTGCATCCGCACAGAGAGAACTGCACCTTCCTTCCGCCCTCCCCAGCTGGCCAGCCTGAACCCGGGTGAAAAGAGCTCCCTCCCAGGGTCAGTGTCTCTCTCCGTAGAGCCTCTGGTTTCTTCCTGCAATGAAAGCCAGTCTCAACTCTCAAGCTGCCAAACTGGCTTCTTCAAAAACATTTCTGTTTTCACCCAGCATGAGCTCATCGGTCTGCAATGTCCGTGAGTACTAATAGCAGGCGGGAGAGGATGTGCCTGGGCACCCTCCCCACCCTGTCCTCAAGTGTCAGTATCATCTTGGGGAGCAGTGGCTTCAAGGCCACCTTTACCTTCAGCCCTCCTGGCTGCCCTGGCAAGACTGGTGTTAAAGCACATAGAGCAAGTCCCCTCTGCCATCTGACCTCGCTGCCCACAAGAAATAAGATCCAGTTCTTCGCCACATTGTGAAAGGGACAAGAGAATGACTGGCAAATACAGTTTTTAAAACCCAGACCACATCACGGGAAAGCACGCCCTTGATGGGGTTTTCCTGCATTCTCCCGCACAAAGTGCCGCTTTCCATCATGTTCTCTTGCCAACTGGGCAATCACTTTGTGTTCAGTGTTTGGAGACCATGTGGCAGATCCAGCAGCCTCAGCTCTCTCTCTCCCTCACTAAAGCACCTGCACCCAGACTCTGGCACTTCGGGCGCTCATCTTGGGAGCCTTGAAATAGGGGCCATCCCTGTTTCCTGTCTTCTCAAGCAGAGCCCCACTTCTGAGCCCCTCATTTAAGCCTTGGTGCTGGGGCATCTGAGGCATGTCCCACAGCACTTTTCCTTCATTCTTTAGTATCTGAGGGTTACCATGTGTTAATTTTTCAAAAGGCATATTTTTCTCCTAAAATGTTAAAAGAAATAAACTTAGAAGCAGCTGTGGTTCCCACATGGTCCAGACACAATAATTGTGTAGAAGTCCCAATGAGTAGCTAACACTTGATCTCTCAGATTCAGGCCTGTGTACTCACCTGCGAATCTTTTTTGATTTTTATTTTTTTAAAGAACTTCCTTTCTAAACCTGTTGTGACCCAGTTTTGCTTGGACAGATTCCATAACACCAACCTGGCAAATTCCTGTTGTCATTCCAGTAAGCAAACGTGACTAAGTTAATAATAAAAAACAGTCAATGCTTGTTGAATACTCATCATGTACCAGGCTTATTGTGGGCACTTGACCTGTAGTATTTATTATCCTATTTGGAGAACGCTGAGGCCCAGAGAGTTTAGGTAATCTGTCCTAGTTTATCCAGCCAGAGAGGGTAAGCCAGGGCTGGATGTAGGCAGTGGCTCCAGGCCTCGCACGTCCCCACAAAGCTCTGTCCCAGTCTCCTGCCTTTCTCTCCCATCCCAGAAAAGGGCCAAGAGTAAACTCCCCGTTCCACTGACAGACATGTGGATGCTGTATGGAACAGCTGGGCCCTGGAGAATTTTGGCATTATTTGCAATTGTTGGGTTTCCCCTGGGAAAATGCAAGTTCCAACTTAGAATGTAAATCAATAGGAGCCAAAGGTACAGTGTACTGGCTGTCACACTGTCCTGACTTGGTCCCTGAGCAGCATCTACCAGGGGTGAGACACACCGGAGACCCAGACCAGCCCTGTCATCTCTAGCAACACACAGCCCTGTCTCCTTGCTGTCCCCAGCTGAGGATTGTGGAGCACCTGTCTGGCCCTAGAAGGGAAAATGACAACAATAGTCAGAGCTGTTAATTATCATCATTTGAGCAGTGGACAGTGCTGTTTGTTAGTGCTTTATGAGGTAGGTGCCGTTACTGTTATTGTTGTTGTTTTGCAGATGAGGAAACTGAGGTAGGGAGAGATTCAGGGACTTGCCAAGGCCACTCAGCTAGGAAAGTGGTTGCCTCCTGTTCAGAGAATTCTTGGTTCATTCCTGAAGCAAAGATAGAGTAGCCCCAGCCATTCATGCGGCCATCCTACATCCTTTCCAGATGCAAATGTACAGGGGCAGCAGCCTAAAAAGCAGTCACTGCCCTTACTGAAAGTCAGATGCCCCAAATTCAGTGCCAGCCATGCCGCCTACCCTCTGGATAACACAGATGAGTTCCTGGGCTCTGTTAGCCCCTGTGTCTGCACCTTGAAGTGGGAGCAGAGCCATCCATCTCGGAAATGAGGCATATGCGAGTGCACACGGAGAGGCCTCTCTTCCTTTGTAAATCATTCTCTCAGCCCAGTGACTCTAAAATGAGAATCCTGCCCTGGGCTATGTGTCAGGGTGGCCACTTCCTGCAGCCATGGATGACGGGAGGTTTCAGTGCTGGGCTCAACTGGGGCCGCTTGTCTGAGGGACAAAGGGGTTCTCTTCAGCCCGGCTGGAAACAGAAAAGAATCCCTGCCATTGAGTGGGCTGTGCGCTCGCCTGAGGAGTCGCCCCTCACCACCAAAGGCCAGTCTGCTCCCTTCCCACCACGCAGCGCATCCGGCTGGCAGCCCAGTGCGGGAGGAGCTTGGAGTGCGTCTTTGTGCTGGTGGCACGACCCCTCTGGGCTCCATCACTCTTTCCACAGCTGTGCTGGTCAGCAGGGCCAAGAAGAAGGAACCTGCGTCCCCCTTTCTCTTTTGTTAGAGGAGCCGGCCCCTCCCCAGCCACCCCCCCAAGTCCTTGAACCTTCTGAGATCTCCCCGGAGCACACAAACCCATGTGTCCAGGTCCCACTGCTGGGGCAACAACACTCCAGACAGATGACAGAAGACCAACGCTGAGGCATATTCCTTCCCAGCGAGGCTCCAAACCAGCCTTGTACCCTCTGTCCTTCGTGGGGACCTGTGCCTGTGCTCTGGCCAACCCTCCAGGCTGAGGTGTTTTGAAAGAAAAGCAGTCCTTGACAGCCTGGGACAGGTCCTATCTTAAATGAGGTATCTTGCTTTCTGATGAGTCCCATGTGAGGTACTGAGAGCAACGTTCTAGGACTCTGCTCTCTCTCCCTGCCCTGTCTTTAACAACCTGACGGTTAAAAGGAAAACTGTGTCTTAAAAATATTTTGTCTTATTATTGCAGACCCTGGAAACGATGGACACAGGGAAGCCGTTCCTTCACGCCTTTTTCATCGACCTGGAGGGCTGTATCAAAACCCTTCGATACTTTGCAGGGTGGGCAGACAAAATACAGGGCAGGACCATCCCCACAGGTGAGCCAACTCAGGACTCTCAGCCTCGTCCGGGGTCTCTTAGGGGTTCTGTCTTCTCACTCCTCTAGCTAGCCTCTTCAGAGCACCCCTGGGTCTTTTCCCCAGAGCATCCTTCCCACACCCAAAAAGGAAATGGCACTGTGTCAATCCTTCCTCTGAGGAATTTTACTTTTGAAATTGAGTTAAAAATCGCTTCATTATGGAACAGATAGGACTTAGAGCTGACACTTGGTGGGCTTCTGGGTTTCTTTCTTGTCTTTTTACTCCTTAAGATCCTTAACCTAGTTTCATGCGAGCACGTTCTCTGTTAATCTCTTTTCCAGATGACAATGTTGTGTGTTTCACCAGGCACGAGCCCATAGGTGTGTGTGGGGCCATCACTCCTGTAAGTATGGCAACTTCTCTAGATAGATCTGTATAGATCCCACCCCATTCCCCTGTGGCCTTTGGAACCAATTTCTAGTGGGTTTTGATTCGATTGCACTGGTATTAATTGAGCATTTGCTCTGTGGCATGGAGCTTGGTGCTTGAGGGTCATCAAGATGGATCAGACTCCATGCCTGCTCTCAAGGGGCTGATTCCAGGAATGCAACAGGAGACACATGGATTCAAACCAAAGGGGTCAGGGATGGCCAGCTCCCCTCGGGCAGTGGTCTCTCAGCTGGGCCTTGAGGATAAGAAAGAGTTGTTCAACAGGAAAAAGGGGTTTCTGAGCAGTAGGAATGGCCTGAGTGAGGGTGTGGAAGTGTCTGGACTACTTGGAGGGCAGTAAAGATAGCTGGTGAGGTCAGAGCTTAGGTGGGGACAAAGTGAGGAAGAGGAAGAGCAGCCAGCAGGTGGTGCTGGCTCAGCATCCAGTATGCCTTGCTTCCCAGGGCCCAGGACTTTATTCACTGGGCCATGGAGAGTCTGGCAGGTGCTGGGGATGCTATGATGCTGCCATCTATTGGAGGAAACACCAGGCCACTGCACCAGCTGGGGAGGCGGGCGGCAGTGTGAAGAGGGTTGGAGAAGAGCTCTGCAGGGGCCAAGCAGACGTGTCCTTCAGCCACCAGTCTTGAGAGCCGGGAAATGGTCAGGCCAAATGTGCTCTTGCCCGTCAAGTTGGGAGGGCTCACCTAAAGATGGGTGTAGAATGAGAAAAGAAGAGGGCCTGGGGCCAATCCCACAGACCACCAGGGAATCCCATGGAGAAGTCTGAGCAGCCAGGGTCAGGGGCCTCCCAGGGACGTAATACATTTCCAGAAAGAGACTGTAGTCAGTGGGGTCATCTCCTATGTAGGAATTCAAAAAGACAGAAACACAGCTGTTAGATGTGCTTCCCAAGAGAGGCATCGGGGGAGTTGGGGCTAATGGAAAGGGAGCTGGGCATGTGGGCATGGCCCTTCCAGAAGCTGCAGTGAGAGAGAAGGGAGCTGCTAGAAGAGGCAGAGGCCAGGAAAAGGTACAGATTTGCTTGTAGGTGAGGAGAACTGATGGCATTTATGTGCTAAGGAGTGGGGATCCAGAAGAAGAGGGGACCCCGATCACTATTGGGGGAACCCTAAGACAACACCTGCTGTCATTAGCCAACCACACAGACCCCTGGGAAATGGGATGTTATATTTGTTGTCTAGTTGTAGGAATTCCAGACAGAGCTGGGGGGAGAAATCCAGCTAGCCATTGGTCAGCCCTGCAGGGGGGACGTCATTGGAGTATAAGGAGCCAAACGGACTGTTTGGGGGGTCAGAGGTGAGGCACGGCTAGAATCAAGCTAACTGCGCTCTTGGAGATGCTCGGTTTCATCTCGTCTCATCAAAGATGTTACTTAGGCAAGCTGTGTAGTGGAGGAAACAAGCCTGGCCATGAATCCTGGCCTTCGTCTGAGGCACAGTTCCTCCGTGCCTCAGTTCCCTATTCTGTCAACAGGAGCGGTAATATGACTGCCCCACGCAGGGGTGTGGGGATCAAATGAGTTCAGATTTTGGAACCGCACCTGGCACACAGTGGACACTCAGTGGGCGAGAGTGCTTGTCAGGCCTGATGTCACAGCAATTTCGATATCCCTGCCTCCGGGTGAAAGGATGACAAGAAAGTATTTCCCAAGGTGTATTTCACCAAACACCCATTCGGTGGGGGTTAGTATGTGTTCTGTAAGGAGAGAAAGAGATCCTGTGGCATTTGCGTTTAGGAGAGGCGGGGCTCATTTCTGTGGGACTTTTCGGAGATGTTAACATGCTGATGGCATTGTAAACCTCCAAGAGGAGAAGGTAGTACACCTATAGCAGAATCCTCTTTGCAGCGACCACCTATTAGCATCTCCCAGAATGCAGTTTAGGAGGCGCCAGGCAGGAATGCAGTTCTGATCATCGCATACTCCTACGTTACCTTCTATACCCCAAACCTAAACCATGCAAAGCAAGTGCTCCATGGAGGCATCGCAGGGCCTCCAGGACAGTGTAGTAGTGGATCTGGGCCCCCCAGCCACTCTGTGTTCTGCTGCAGTGGAACTTCCCTCTGCTGATGCTGGTGTGGAAGCTGGCACCCGCTCTCTGCTGTGGGAACACCGTGGTCGTGAAGCCAGCGGAGCAGACTCCCCTCACCGCCCTCTATCTCGGCTCTTTGATCAAAGAGGTAAGATATCCAAAGAGAAAATATTCTGTGTCCTCAATTACATTGCCACTCCCAGGAACCAGGCCACCATCACAAGATAAGTCTGCCCCATGGAGCTGTGCTGTGCATGCCAGCGCCAGCCGGCTCCTGGCCGAGTGGGAAGGGAATGCCTCCTGGGTTTCACTTGGCAGCTGCTCATTCCCTCTCCTGCTTGCGGTCACTGAGCTAGAAGAGACTCCATTCCTCCCACTGATCCTAATGAGAATACTTTACTCTTATTATGAGCTCAAACCCATGGTTTATGACCAAATATTTTGTCTAGAGAATTTACAGGAGGGTTACTTGGGAGGCAGGTTCTTTGGGCCCTGCATATGTGGTGTACAAAATGGTCCATTCTTCTTGTGGGTGGGTGATCTCGCCAGCTCCCCCTGGAGGGGCTACTGCTGAGCCCCGAGCCTCCTCACCAATGCTCTGCTCTCAGGTGACCGTCCTCTCCGTGGCAGCCACCGCGTAGGGAAATGGACAGCCCAAAGGGACACCTCCTTCCAGACACGCCTGGCAATGTGTTTCAGTCATTTTGTCCCCAACTCGTATGTTGCAAAGAGTTTTAAAAAGAAACAAGAAGAAAAGAGGGATAGGAAGTAAGATCCATTCATTCCACTTCTCAGCTGGGCTAATACGACAGGAAAGCAAGACCTTTATTACTTAGATGTAAGGCTGCAGAGCCAATAATTGACCAATTTCTCACTTTCCTTTGACCTGTGATGTAGGACCTTATGACATCGTAGTAATCAGACTTACAGATTCTAAAGTCACAACTGTTTCAAAAAGTGTTTAGGAAGACTAAAGACTCAAGCACGATGTTGTAAAATCTTGCCTTACTAAAATAATGTGTTTTAATGAAGACACAGCATGCCCCGGTGGTTCAGCATCCCCCACCTGTTCATTTGTGGTGCTCTTGGTTAATAAAGAGGACCCAGCATATGAGGAGCACCAAGCATGAATGTGAAAGAAAAGTCGCTCCCTACCTTCAGGATGTGCTGGCTCTCGGCATGACCCAGGTTCAACAGCAGGGATTCTGAGGGAGTGAGACCATATTGCCATTTGGAACATTAATGGGGCAGATTTTAAAAATGGTCACAACTGTTTCAAAAAGTGTTTAGGAAGACTAAAGACTCAAGCACGATGTTGTAAAATCTTGCCTTACTAAAATAATGTGTTTTAATGAAGACACAGCATGCCCCGGTGGTTCAGCATCCCCCACCTGTTCATTTGTGGTGCTCTTGGTTAATAAAGAGGACCCAGCATATGAGGAGCACCAAGCATGAATGTGAAAGAAAAGTCGCTCCCTACCTTCAGGATGTGCTGGCTCTCGGCATGACCCAGGTTCAACAGCAGGGATTCTGAGGGAGTGAGACCATATTGCCATTTGGAACATTAATGGGGCAGATTTTAAAAATGAAAGCTGAAGCCCAGGAAGGGTATTTTGCAGGTACCTCCGAGTTGGGGACTGTGACCAAGGTGTCCCTTCTCCCCCCAACACACAGACAAACACACACACACACAGACACACAGAGACAGACCCATATAGACACAAACATAGACACACACAGAGACAGACCTATGCAGACACACACACACACACACACACACACACACACAGAATGGTGCTCTGCTATGAAACGGCCACTGCCGTTTTGCTCAGAAGCCCTTTGGGGTAGGCAGGGCCGCCCAGAAGGAGGGTGTGTGCCTCGCCCTGGCCCCACCCGCACACTGGCTGACTGGGTCTGGTCCTGGGGTGGCGATAGGAACCGGGCCCAAGCTTCCAGGTGAGGGTCCTGCTCTGCTCAGGGACCTCACCCAACCTCCTCTTCTGAACACCATCTCAATTTCCTCCCAGGTGGGATTCCCTCCGGGCGTGGTGAACATCGTGCCAGGATTTGGGCCCACAGTGGGAGCAGCAATTTCTTCTCACCCTCAGATCAACAAGATAGCCTTCACTGGGTCCACAGAGGTAACCCTCCTCGCCGACTATGGGGGACAGTGGCTGTCGCTGAGAATTCTCTGTTTAGAGGCTAAACTATGATGACCCCATTTTAGTACATATTTGTACTAAAAAAATAGTACATTTTTTAAACAATCAGTTAAAAAAAAAAGTTACTGGTCCAGTTTCCAAACTAAATAAATATCTAATTCATTTACTCAGAAGCCTCAGAAGAAAATATTCATAGATAAGATAAAATAAAAATTGAAATATCCATAGGATAAACAGCATAATCAAGGTTAAAAAATAAGCCTAAGGTGATTGGCAATATTGTAGTACTGATCGTACATTTGAAAGTGTAAACTTTTGTTTCAGAAATTCCATTTTGAAGCAACTACTATTCTCATGAGCATTCAAGGACATACTTTCAAGTATACTGTATCCATCCTATATGACGTTTTACAGCCATTACAATAAGGAAAGCTGTCCATGATCTATTGCTGAAGCACAAAAAAAAAGTAAATTGTAGGGCTTCCCTGGTGGCGCAGTGGTTGAGAGTCCGCCTGCCGATGCAGGGGACACGGGTTCGTGCCCTGGTCCGGGAAGATCCCACATGCCGAAGAGTGGTGGGCCCGTGAGCCATGGCCGCTAAGCCTGCGTGTCCGGAGCCTGTGCTCCACAACGGGAGAGGCCACAACAGTGAGAGGCCCGCGTACCAGAAAAAAAAAAAAAAAAGTAAACTGTAGGAAAGTATATACTATATATATGTATATACCATTAGTAAAAGGGTGGGTGTAGAGAAATAGAAATTACCTGGAAGGACTCCCCCAAAAAATTCTTACTGTGGCCTCCTCTGGGGCAGGTCCTGGGGCATTAACAGAGTGAGGGAAGATAAAAACTTTCCCCTTTAATTTACACACATCTATATGTGGGAATTATTTCTAATGAGAAAGCACTTCTTCTGTACTTAAAAAAATAAATGGATAAAATTTCCCAGGCAGTAAGTGCTCCCATCTCCCTCTTAGTTTAGTCCATCCAGAGACCCAAGACCGAATCCTATGGCTGCTGGACAATAGCTGGAAGACAGGGGACTGAGGGGGACGGAGGGGCAGAGAGGGTCCTGCCCCCCAATGGCTCCTATGTCTTCCCAGTCTTCTCACCCAACAGCAGAAGCATCACTGCCCCTGCCCCTGCCCCTGCCCCTGCCCCTGCCCAGCTTCTCTCTCTAGGCTACCCATGGGTCCAGCCGGGTGGGGCTCTCACCAGGCAGCCAGCCTCCTGCACAAGAAGGTGGCTTCTGTGACCCCAGGGATTGCTCAACTGACAGGCATCTCCCTAAGAGGGGTGCTTCCCACCGAGGCCCCCAGCTGTGCCTCAGCCTCACAAGAGATCACAGGCCCACAGCAGGCTGGTTTGCTTCAGGTACTCTCCCTGGAGACAGTCCTTATCACCTGGATCAGGCCATCCACACCTCCTTCAGGCCATCACCCAGGAGCTGGCCGAGTTTTAAAATGCACTCTCGGGGACTTCCCTGGCAGTCCAGTGGTTAAGACTTCACCTTCCACTGCAGGGAGGGCGGGTTTGATCCCTGGTCAGGGAGCTAAGATCCCACGTGCCTCGCAGCCAAAAAACCAAAACATAAAACAGAAGCAATATTGTAACAAATTCAATAAAGACTTTAAAAATGGTCCACATCAATAAATAAATACATAAAAATGGCACTCTTACCTTAGTTTTGAGGAAATAGCCTCAGCCCTGAAAGAGCCTAGCTCTGCCTCCTGCTGGCTCTCTGGCACTAGGCCCCTGTGTGCACACTGGTCTCTAAGAGTCTTCCAACTCAGAAGTTGGTGGCACCGGCCCAAGACAAGTCACTGCTGTGTGCTGGGCCAAGCCCACCTCTAGCGGTGCAGGGGATGGTAGGTACATGCAGGAGGTTGGACATCACAGTTTGTTGAGTGGCCCTCCTGTTACTTCATAGGAAAGCAATTCTCTCCCTACCCGCTGGGGGCCCTCAGTCTTAGGATGTGTTTCCCATCCTAAAGGTTAACTCCCCTGTTTCCCTAATTCTCAGAGGTTCCCTCAGATTATACCAAAGGACCACACAGACCCACCTCCCCTTGGTCCCTTGAGCTGGACCAGCTTGCTGCCGGGAGGGACAGGCACCAGGACAGGTGACAGCCAGCTCCACCACTAGCCAGCTGTGTGGCCGTGGGCAAGTCACTGAGCCTTCGAAGGCTCCCCGTCCACCCCAGTACGTGGAGCAACTCAGATCTGGGATTCCAGCTGTGTCTGATCCGAGAGGAAATGCTGGGAGAGGCCAGGGGAGTGAGGGGGCAGCATCAAGGCCCAGGGTGCCTGGGTAGGGAGGCCGCAGCCCAGGCCATGCCACACTCATGCCTCCAGGCTTGTCCAGAATGTGTGGGCCACATCCAGCTGTGTCCGAGGCTTAATGTGGTCTGGTTTTTATCCTGAAGGTTGGAAAGCTGGTTAAAGAAGCTGCCTCCCATAGCAACCTGAAGAGGGTGACACTGGAGCTTGGTGGGAAAAACCCCTGCATCGTGTGTGCTGATGCCGACCGTGAGTCTCTCCCCTTCCGGGCATTGCTGGGGCTTTATGGGACCCGTAAATCTCTCCCCACTTCCTTGCCCAAATCAGAACCAATTAAGAAAGACAAGCACACACACAATGGGGATGTTTCTCCACCTCGGGTTATCCCTCCATAAATAATAGGCAGATGGAGATCCAAACGCCAGCTTTACCGCTGGTAGAAAGCTGTGTTGGAGGAGGACATGCTTCCTGTGGTAGCCAGAGAGGCCGCCTGTTTCTGCCCTTCATGAGTTTGCCTTCCCTGTCCTTGCAGAGCTGGGGCCGTGACAAGCGGGCTGGGGTTCTTCTCCAGAGCCCCCTGTGTTGGGGGAGAGGGGGAAGGCCAAGAGGAGGAGGAGAAGGGCATGTGCTCCCCCCACAAGCATTCATCATTCTACCCTCCAAGTCGGTACTTCCTATGATGCTTTCAGGCTCTCGAAGACTTGAGATATTTCTTCCTTCTTTGTCTCAGATCTGACAAAACAGAGGCCAGTGGCAGGTGACCCTTAAAGATATCCTGCTGGCCTAGGTGCTGTCTCTCCCTTCACTACCTCTTCCCTGGGAAAGCCACCCTGCCCAGCAGCTTGGGGGCAGTTTGTGTCTCATGACATAATATTAAAATAGACACTTTTCTTGGTTGTCATGTCCAGAAGAGGAAAGGAAGGGCCACATCAGACATTCATCGACCTGCTGACATGGTCCGCTGCCAGATTTTTGGTGTGACTTCCCAAGTACACTAAAACACCTTTGCCTTAAAGAACAGCCTCCCCCACCTGCCCACTGGTGCCAGGAATTCCTTTCGTGGAGTACAAAGCCTTCCACTCCACACTCAGATAAGTTTGGAATTGCAAATATCCCTGAGAAAAATGATCCTAGCACAATTTCTCACCAAGGTGTGAATAACTGGTTTCAGTTCTACTCCTTGAAGCTGGCTTTCAATGGGAGAGGACTGGGTGAGGAAACAAGCCCCAAGGAAAGAAAGGGAGGCTGGGTGTGAAGGTGGACTGCTCATTTTTGCCTGGTTTGGTGCTCCCTGATGGAAGCATCATCAGTGTTGCTAGTGGTCTCTGGAGCCACACGGAACAGTACTGGGTATTGCCCCACTGTGACCCACATTTGGAGTTCCAAAGAGCCGGACTGCTGTTTTGCATTCTTGTGCCTCCATATCTGGGTGCCCCTTCTGCATCTCAGCTCACCCTCTTTCCCTCCCAATGAGGAAAACTACAGCTGAAACACAGGACTCCTGTCTGAGGGTTGGTTTGATAAGGGTCATGTGAGCAAGTGAGGTCATGGGCAAGTGAGGTGAGGATGTGACAAAGTCTCTGTGCTCGTTAGTGCAGTAAAGACACTAAGTCCTGCAGTCAGGGGACCTATTTAACCCCAAACTCCATGGATCGAAAAATCCCCTTTCCCATGCTCTCTGTTTGGGAAGTGCTGAGCAAAATTAATTTCTGAAACGTAGCCATCCTGGGGCCTGTTTTCTCATGTGGGCAATTAGAGTTGCAGCTGTCGCCAGTCCGGCCTTAACAACTTAATCGCTTCCTCTTCCCTCGCCACCCCCTCTCTCCAGTGGACTTGGCAGTGGAGTGCGCCCATCAGGGAGTGTTCTTCAACCAAGGCCAGTGCTGCACGGCCGCCTCCAGGGTATTTGTGGAGGAGCAGGTCTATGATGAGTTTGTCAGGCGGAGCGTGGAGTTCGCCAAGAAACGGCCCATTGGAGACCCCTTCGACATCAGGACGGAACAGGGGCCCCAGGTAACCTACTGACGTATCAGATCTTGAGGTGCACGTCTGGGGGCTGAACCAGGCAGGCCTCTGGCCCTGGCCCTGTACAGCTCTGGTGCTCTGTGACTCCAGGGGACTCCCTTACTCACTTGCCCAGCCACTTGAGGCTTTTGTTCAGACGTTGATCAACAGTTCAATCCCATCAGGTCTTGGTGGTGTTATGAAATGGGGGTGTACACACAGAGCTCTGCTCTTTGCAGCAGATAATGCTGAGCTCTAGGCCTTGGTGGAAGGGAGGCATTCCCGGTTTATAAGTCCATGTGACTGCACCCTCCAGCCAAAGGACCAACCCTTCTCTGAGCCACCAGGGTCCCCAGGAGAGAGCCTCAGGCAGAGGCTGTCTTGCCTGGCTGGGCTCTCTGCAGAAGCGAGTTGTAACCCTGGCTAAAATGTAGCAGAGCACAGGTGGAGGCAGCAGCTGGAGCCAGAGGCCTCAGCCTGGAGGCCCTCGAGCCCATGTGCATTATAGGACAAAGTGACCATCAGAAACCAAAGAATCCCACTGGAAAGGGCTCGGAGAATGGGGATACATCTCCAGGCAGTAGGAACACATCTCTGGAGACCTGGTTTTTGAAGCTAATGACAGGATGAAAATGATCATAACCACGAGGTTTAATAACCTCTTTAAGAGGGCAGGTCCTGTATCACTTTCTTACTAAGTATGCAGTGCGGCAGATGGATAAATATTTAAAAGAGGGCAGCCTGACCATCCCATGCATTATTAAAATGGAGTTCAACAGCAGCCTACTTTGCTTGTAGCCAAAGTCCTGCTCCAGCCAGGAAATTTCAAATCACATGTCAGGACTCACCCAATTTGTGTCTGTCCCAGGAGCTGGCTACTTACCCACTGCGTTGGCACCACGTGTTTCCACGGGAAGCCATGGATCTGAGGGCAAGTTTGGCTCTGTGATTTTGTGAAAGCCACAAGCTCCTTCCAAACCTCAGTTTCCTCATCTGGAAAATAATGTAATTGATGAATATTATGAAAATTTCAAGGCACTTAATAAGTTTTTATTTTTTAAGGGGGGGGCATTAAATGGCAGGCTCCCTGATCTAAGTGGCAGCAAATGTCTGTGCATGACTTCAAGCCACATCAATTAGGTCTTGCTTAACCATCTTGGCTGGGGATAGGGGAGGACCATGTGGAAAAGGTGTGTTTCTAGCTATAGTGCCCACCCCTGCCTTGCCCCATCCCACATGCTCTGTGGCTCTGGGGCCACGTGACCCTGGTGGAGAGAAACATCTCCACTTGTGGCCAGCACTCCGCATTCTGTCAGGCCTCAACCCCAAACCCAGCAGCCAGTGACACAAAGTTGTCCATCGGCCTTGGTTGGATTTCAGGTATGAATACAGACATGGCCACAAGTCATTATCAAATCTGCTGTGATTGTAAAGCTAACCCAGAATCCGTGGGAAATATGTGAGTTGATCCCATTCTAAGGAATCCCTTTTACCCCATCATTATTCATAAGTCTCTTTCCAAGGCTTCAGGCTTCACTTTTGAAGCCAGATACAGAAATCTCTTCCAAAACAGCACAGTGGTATTGATTTCATCAGTGCTTTTGATGCTGCTGCTGAAAGTCCTTTTGAAAACTCACTTAAGCCTTCTAACCTCAGCATATTATTTTAGGATGTTGTTGGGGTTTTTTTTCTGCCAAAGTGCTTTTTCATCTACGTTAATAAGGCTTTACTCCAAGAGGATTTACAGCTGTCTAAATAGTTCTGTCTGTCTCATGCCTGTAAAACAGCTAGCTGACCAGATAGGTGTCCACTGCAGGCAGCCAGAACACTCCAGAATTATTCAGGTTTGTTTGGCAACTGAGCAAAGATATGCACAGACTCACGCAGGCCACCTGGTGGGGGGCGGGGTCCTGCATCCTCTCTGTCCTCTCCTCTCCGGCAGAGCCACTCACAGCCTTGGCCGTCCGCAGGACCCTGTTTCTCCATCTTTGGTGCTGTGCCCTGGTGCAGCCTTCACTTCCCAGCAGGTTCTTCTCTCTCACTGTGAGGCACCAGCTGACATTCATGGAGGATTATTAGATTTAAACAACACATTCACACGGACTTGCCAGGAAGAGTTGAGTCTGGACGGTAGAGTTTCCATGGGGCCCTCCGCTGGCTTCAGAACAGACAGTCTTGGAGGCAGAACATGGTCAGTGGCCGCTGAGGGTCTGTAGTTTGATGAAGCCCCACAAGCCTCTTGGTCTCCAAGGAGGAGGAGAGAGCAATCCTGGCACTTTTAACCCAAGACTTGGTTAAGACTTCCCAGAGAGAAGTTGAGGGAACCTTGAGATATTATGAGATATGCTGCAGTTTGAGTTACTTTTTAGGTGGCAGTACTTACACACACTCAAAACCCAAAAGACATATAAAGGTCAGTAGTGAAAAAGCTTCCTTCATAGGCATGGTTTTTACACTTCCGTCCATGGATATCCTGTGTTCTTAGTTCTTAGAAGAAAATTCTCCAGAATTTCTGTATATACAAGCAAAATTGAGTATGTATACAAGAATGTAATATGAATTCTGGTTTCCCTTGTTTTTACTCAAAATATCTATACATAGTACTGTTTTGCACCTTGATTTTTGTCCCCTAACAAGAAACTTGAAGAGCTTTCCATATCATACCAAACCATGGGAACCTGCCTTGTTCTTTTTTATATGTACATAGACTTTCACTGTATGAATCCAACAGAATTCAAGTAACACGTACTGATGAGTATGTGGGTGTGTGCGGTCACGCACAGTGCCACAGAGTATGTCATTCCACACATACACAAGGAAATCCACAGGACGGATTGCCCAAGTGGGACTGCTGAGTGAGAGCACATTTATGATTTCTACAAGCATTGCCAAATTACCTTCCAAAAACATGAACCAACTTACGTTCCTGCCAACCTTGTATGAGCTTGCCTGTTTCTCCAGCCTTACTAACAGAATATGTATGGAGTTTTGCCCATCTGATAGTTAAAAATGATATCTCATTTGTTTTTAATGTACATATATCTCTTATAATGAGTAAGGTAGAACATCTTATCATGTTTAAAGGCCATTTATATTTCCTTTTCTATCAACTGTGCAAGTGCTTTGCATATTTTTCTCTTGTACTGCTGATCATTTTTTTGTCACTTCTAAGAATTCTTTACATACTAGAGAGAATTCTTTACATACTAGCACTATTTCTATGATATGACTTGTCAATATTTTCCAGTTTGTTGTTTTGCCCTTTGACTTTGCTTATGCTGTTTTTGCCTTCTTTTTTTTTTTACGTACTCAAATTTATTAATCTTTTCTTTTGGCTTCTGGATTTCAAGCCATAGAAAGGCCGTCAGCACTCCAAACTTATGGAGGCATTCTCCCACATGAGAGAATTTGAAAACATTTTATGACTTCATCTTTCGTGATTAAGTCTTTGCTCTACCTGGAATCTATCCTGGTACAAAGTGTGAGGTATGGATCCAACTTGGTGTTTTAACACTGGATCCACGTTTCATAAGATGACTGGTCAAGGGGCTTGCATGGTTTGTGCCCACCCCTTCCAAGAAAGCCAGCCTACTCCTCAGGGACAGACAGTCATCCAAATGCACCATTGGGTTTGCTTATTTTTTTATTCAAATTTGCTTAAATTAAACCACTTTTTTATCTGAAAGTCACAGCTACAGCAAACCTATCTAACAAAGCTCTGTCTCTCCCAGCCAGAGGGAGGGGATTTGCAACAGGGTCAGGGTCAAGAACAGGGTTCCCATGGATTTGGGAAGAGGGATCATTTTCGGTGGGAAGAGCACTTCCCCCCTTGAGTCTCCCAGAGAGGTGCCTTTGCCAGCCGGTCGAATACAACATCCACAAGCTGGGTGTTAGGCTGGTGGTACAGGGTACACCCCAGCCCAGGAGACCCCTAAACAAGGAGCCCTTCTGATGAGCTGGCTCCCCATCAACCAGGAGCATCCCCTCTACCTCACCTTGAGCCTCTACTCTGTGTCCAGGGGTGATGAGTAAGGTGGTCAGATTTACTTCTCACTTCTCTGCACTCTGGATGGAGAATTCCAATAACTGTTGGTGCCCTAGGAGCAGGGTACAGGGTGGCCAGTTAGAATACATGGCACCCTGTTCAAATAAACAGTGAATACATTTTTAGTGTAAGTGTTTCCCAAGTATTGTTTGGGGTATGCTTATACTTTAAAAATCATTCATTGCTTTTTAGGAATTCAAATTTAATTGGGCATCGTGTGGTTTTATTTGCTAAATCTGGCAACCCTAGAAGGATGCAAGAGTTAGAACAAAGAATTTGACTACTTCAGATCTTCTTTCACCCACAGATTTGCTTAACAGCATGGAGGGTGTATGAATAAACCTACACCTGGAGAGGATGAGAAAAGCCCATCTCTCCCCTGCTCCAAAGAGCCCAGATTTGTGCATCGGAGGAATATTTGCATACAGGGAACATCTGGTCCATGAATTTTTTCTTGGCCAAAACATGATGGGTAGGACAGTGATCACATAGGAGGCCGTTGGACACATGAGTTGGTAGTCACCTCCCAGAAGGAAGCCGGGCTTACCTCTCACTGTTTTACAGATTGACCAGAAGCAGTTCAACAAAATCCTCGATCTGATTGAGAGCGGAAAGAAGGAGGGAGCCAAGCTGGAATATGGGGGCTCGGCCATGGAAGACAGGGGGCTCTTCATCAAACCCACTGTCTTCTCAGAAGTTACCGACACCATGCGGATCGCCAAAGAGGAGGTACTGGGGCTGCAGGAAAAACCATGTCCCGTGGTGCCCTGTGCTGAGCTGGGGCCCGGGGGCGGGGGAAGGGGGCTGGGCCTTTCAAACCTGAGTCTTCTCCAGGGACCAGGGATCCCAGAAATCTCTGTGAAGGGACTGTTTTCCTTTTTCCTGTGGCCTTTTCCCTCTCCTTAGGGGTCCTTTGGAAGCCGTCCTGCTCCTGGGACCCCTGAGCCCTGTGTAGAGTTTGTCCTAGCCCCCAGTTCCACGCATTGCTCATCGTCTCCAGGGAACAACAATCCCTCTTCTGTCTTCTAACATGTCCTCAGGTTAGCCTAGGGTGGAGGGCCATTGCAACCTGTGCATTTTGTCAGGAATCGAGCCATGGATTCAGGGCCCAAAGCTGCCTTCAGTTCCCCCAGACCGAACTTAAATGACAAGTGTTCATTCCAAAAACATGTCCTGGCTAGAAGTCTCTTTGAAGTTTTCCATCATGGGCATCCTTAGAAATGGTGGAAATTAAGATGGCCCCCAATAAGAGCGTAATTCTAACTGTGTCTTTCAGTGCCACTGTTAAGCTAGTTACAACTAGTTCCCACCTGAGTCCCAGGTGCTTGGACCCCGGAATGTGGCCTTTTGGGGCACATGAAAGAGTGAATCACTGCCGAAGTCTTCCCGGTTCGAGCCTTTTATACACTTTCTCCTTGAGATTTTTATGTGTTACTAACTGTACCCTGATGGCATGAGACTCAGCTCTTTAAACCTCTCTATGACAAGCTCCGTGGGAACCAGGGCAGGTATTTCAGCAGGCTGACCCTGTCCTGCTGGGCTATGGTGCTGAACATTGAATCAGTTACAAGCTCCTTTCAAAATCACCTTTAAATATTCAGCCTGTAGCTCTTTCCTTTCCTTTGCTATGTTGTAGATGGTGAGGAGCACTGCCTCACTCCCTCCCCTGGGAGTTATTAGGGAAACATTTTAGGTCATCTTCATTGATAGAAAATGCAGCACCAAGAGACCAGGGCCTGCAGTCTGTGCCTGCAAACACCCTTCACAATAACTTTCCAAGAATGACTTCCAAGGTTTTGTCTTCAGTGCATCCCAGCATGCAGGGGCTTCTCCAAAGCTTGAAGCTGGGGCTTCTAGAAGCCCTGACCACATTGAGAGAGCTTCGACCCAACGTATTATTTTGGTTGTTATTTTTTATTTTTGTTTAATTCAGTCTTTCCCTTGGGATTTCAACCATCACACAGCTAAAAAGATGTTTGGATTCTCTCCTTCAGTTATCCTCTTCGTGCGTGTGAGCACTGTGGGTGTTTGAAAAAAGCATAAACGAAGGAAGTGCCTGCTCAGGGCATACATGCTTCATTCCAGCAGCTTCTCACTGCCATTCTTCCAATTAATCATAGATTTTTGGACCGGTGCAGCCAATACTGAAGTTCAAAAATATCGAAGAAGTGATAAAAAGAGCAAATAGCCTTGAATACGGACTAACAGCAGCTGTGTTCACAAAAAACCTCGACAAAGCACTGAAGCTGGCTTCCGCATTAGAGTCTGGAACGGTCTGGTGAGTAGAGCATGTGCTCGGCCCCCCTGAGCTGCCGGCCAACTGGCTTCCTTACCCTTCTGTTAACAAAGAGCTTTTAGTCGTACATATGCGCCAAGCACTGTCTAAGCACTTTGCTCCATCCTCATGACCACCTTCTGAGAGGGGTACTGTTATCGCCCCCATTTTACAGATGAGGAAATCAAGAGACAGAGAGACTGTGTGACTTGCCCAGGGTCACACAGCTAGTATGTGGCAGAGCAGAGCTCAGGACCAACTGTCCAGCTCTGATGCCCATGCTCTTGACCACCGTGTTGGGCCACCCCTTATTTTTTATTCTAATTCTAAGAGCAGCACGTGCTCTTGTGCAAAGTATGGATGAAAGTTCCTGTTTCACCAATAATTCTGATTACACTATCCCCATTTTAAAGATAATATTAGAAGATAAATATGAATTGGAGGCCAAGAAGCAGGAGAACTTTGAGGTCAGGGCCTGTCTCATTTCAGAGCTAATTCTTATTGCCTTCGCCATAATTTTCCTCTTCCTTTTTCTCCCTTTGTCATTCCCTTTCTATCCCAGTGAGAAGCTTTATACTTCAGAATATTCAAATTTTAGTTTCTGGTGGTAAGAGCAAGAAGGCAGAGATCAAAAACACTGTTTTCATGATTAAAACCTTGACAAAAAGTCTCCTTTAGGTGACGCTCTACACCAAGTGCCTAGTAGCTGCAACACCTGAGGTCCAGCTGGGTCCTCTCCTGGTGACCCTGAACTTCTCTTTATTCTCTCTCCAGGATCAACTGCTACAATGCCATCTACGCACAGGCTCCATTTGGTGGCTTTAAAATGTCGGGGAATGGCAGAGAACTGTAAGTGTTTCTGTCACTCCATACCTGTCAGCAGGGCCGATAAAAGATACACTAGATCTGCAGTGTATGGCAAATGGTGGCCCACCCTCCAGTCCACTGAGCTCTCCCCTGTGCTGTGCTTTCCCCCTGGGCTGTGCCGTGTCCCCCATCTTCTCTCCCCTTCCTGCCCTTCCCTACCCTCATCCTCACGCCACCCCAGGACCGACCCCCAGCCTCAGCATATGTGTCCTCCCTAGCACCCATCCCATGTGGAGATGTTCAGTAGGTACTTGACCTAGGCTCACTGCAGGACAGGGCAGAGCTGGGAAGTGCACTTTCCACCAGACGCAGGATGTCATTACTCACTCAAACCCTGGCCCTCAGCAGGGAGGATGGGCTCTCTCCCAGGTCAGGCTGTGGCCCTTCTGCCCACAAGCAAGTTCCCAGGGACAGAGCGTGGGTGACTCTGGCTCCTCCTCAGTGCCTTTTCAGAGGGATACTGCAACATGCTGGGCCTCCGAGCCTCTGTCAAACCCACCGCACACTCCTTCATGGTGCCCTTCTGTCTTGCCCTTTGGGAGGCTGTGCTCCATAGACCTAGACTAATGGATGGATCTTCTGTGTCTGGCCCAAGATAAAAGGCCCAGGCCTAGAGCTAGATGGAGTGTTCTGGGGGTGGGCACGCTGTGGTTTCCAGCCAGATGCTGCCTTCTCTCCCACATCTTTCTTGGTGGTCGTTGGGGTTTTATTAGCCTTTGTGGACAAATAGCTTGTAGGATCAATCTTCCCAGGGAAACCATCTGTGACAACACACAGGGTCATTCCTGGAACATCTCAAAGGACTCCGAGCTCTTCCTCTTATTTAAACAGTTTGTATTATTTATATACAGATGCATCACTTCGTACTTATTTGTACATCTTCCAGTAGGAGCACTCAAATGCTTCCCCTTGGCTTGGGCCTTAGTGGGGCCTTTGGGCAGCTACCCTTCCAGATTCTTAATCAAGATGTATGAAGGAATGAACGGGGCTGGCTTCCATCCCTGAGCAAATGCTCTTGACCAGTCTCCAGGGAATTGGGGGCCCTTCCCCCTTCTCAGTCCTTCTTTCTCATTCATCCTGACTCATGGCAATACAGCAGAGCCATCTGAACATCTGAGTAGAGTGTGTCCATTTGTGTCCCCCTAATTCCTAAAATTGGTTTGCCCTTCCAGAACCTCAGTAAATTCTTGGCCATGAAGACCCTTTACAGAAACCTTGTTCCCTCTGTTGAATGGCTTGTTTGTGTTGTGTTCTGTGAGCCTCTGTTCATTACCTCTTCACACTCACCTGTCCACCAGGGACATGAGACCTGGGCTGGGATTACCTGCATCACCTCTAGGGCCCACCAATAGCACTGGCCACAGCTGACATTTGCTGAGCACGGACTCTGCCGACCTCTATCTGAGAGCCTTGCACATGTTAAGGCATGCCATCCTTACAACAGTCCCTGGGATAATCTGAGCCCACTCAGGCTGCTGGGACAGAATACAGTAGACTGGTGGCTTAAACAACAAACATTTATTTCTCCACTTCTGGAGGTTCAATATCCAGGTGTCTGTTGAGGACCCTATCTTCCTGGTTCACAGGCAGCCGTGTTCTCTCTGTGTCCCCATGGAGTGGAAGGGAGGAAAGTGTTCTCTGGGGTCTCCTTTATAAGGACACTAATCTCATTCATGAGGGCTCCACCCTCTTGACCTAATCACCTCCTAGAGGCCTCACCTCCTAATTTCTTCACATTAAGGATTAGGGCTTCAACATTTGAATTTCAGGGGGACACACATGTTCAGTCTACTGCAGGTAGGTACTACTGCTACCCCTGTTTTTGGATGAGGAAACTCAGGGATGCCCAGAGAGGTCCTGTGCCTTACCCAGGTCACACTACCAGTAAGTGACAGAGTTGGGATTGAACTCTTAAACCCACCACACCACAGGGCCTTGCTCAGTAGGGGTCACCTCTGTGAGCCACCTGGGATGAAGCCAGCCAGGGTACACAGAGTCATTTGTCTCCTCGCTCTGCTGCTTCAACCAGTCAGGTTGTGACAGCTGTGGGACCCAGAACCCCACAAGGCCTTCCTCACAGAGGCCAGGCACAGCCTCCTCCCACAGCAAGAACTTCAGTCCCCAAAGCAGATGTCCTTGGATGCAGGAAGGGTGTGTGGGGCCCACCTGACTTCTAGGCAACTGACTCACACCCACTATTACTGCTTTTCTCACCTGTGTCTCCCTCCCCATCCCTGGTGGCACTGCCTGCCCGCTGCAGAACAGGGCAGGGGAGTATCCGCTGCACTCAGTCCGTGTGTCATCCTGCCGGTTAGCCAAAATTGGGACTTTTGTGGATGTCTGTTTTTTCGACCCTTGGCATATATTTTCCCAAAGCTTTTGATAAAGTACTTTAACATAATCCACAAGGAGACTGGAAACTGGCTTGAAAACCAATTTCCGTTTTCAGTTGTCTCTAATTAATGTCTTCACGTTGCAATGAGTTCCCCTTTTTTATGCTGGAGCACTATGCGGTGGATTCCATGGTTTTCCCCATCCCCGGCCACCTGGGTGGGGCTGGCTATCTGCCGCCCACCCACGGGCCCCTCTGGGATCTCTCCCTGTACAGGTCTTGGGATGAAGCCTGCAATTTCTCTTCCTCCTGGACACTTTTCTTAGTTCTTTGTTTTGCTTTGCAATATAGTAACAAAAAAAATGCACACTGTAGAGACATGTGGGAAGTCAAGGTCTCCCTCCCCTGACCCTCAATCCCATTTGTTAGAGGTAACCACTGTCCCATCATCCATTTTATTCATTTTGTTCACTTGTTCATTTGTTCACTGGCATATATTTACTGAGCACCTTTGATGCCCCAGGCACATGCTAGGCTCTGAGCACACAGCAGTGAACTCTATAAACAGCAGTGCCAATGCCCACAACATTCTGGTGAGGTCCAATGGAAGAAAGGCTGAGCTTATGGATGAGTGAGCGCCAAGGTGGTCACAACTGGGTGAGAAACCATTTAGGAAGGGCCACAGGGGGTCAAATAAGAATGACAAGAACTTGAACTAGGGCAGTGACTGCAGGAATAAAAAGAATGAGGTGATTCATGCACTTAATCTTACAGGAGTGATTTCATATTGGACTTACTAGTTATGTGCTAATTCAGCATGATTTTATCACTTGGTTTGCTTTTCTTTCTTTATGCAGTTGAGAAATCATTAACTGCGTTGAATTTTTACAGTACAATACGATGTGCTCATTTTTAAAGGTTATTGTACATTTTCTATACATACAATGGATGTAAACATGTATTTTTTTTCTGTTTTCAAATGACTTGGGAGGAAAATACTTTTTGCTCTTAAGAAAGGGTTTTGGATATCCTAACCTTCTTTTTATTGGTGGTCTCCTATGATGGACTTTTGAGTTATTTCCAAGGGGTTTTGCTGCTACAGACCATGCTGATGTTCTTCCTTGCGCATAAATCTTTATGCACTTGTGGGGAATTGTTCTCAGAATAAATTCCCAAAATTGGGTAACCCAGCACATGAAAAATGGGCTCCCACTCTTGGTTTGCATTCCTTTAATTGTAAGGGGTTGAGCACCTTATTAACACTTATTGGTAATCTTTATTTTTCTTCTGCAAACTGACTATTCATGTCTTTTGTTGATTTTTCCATTTGTTTTTTTAAATTGGTTCGTAAGAGCTTTTTGTGTATTAAGGAAAACAGCACTCTGTTTCTCACACAGTGTTGTAAATGTAATTTTTTTCTAGTTTATAATTTGCCTTTGGGTTTTTTTATGGAGTTTTCTGCTCTGCAAAAGTTGAATTTAGCATTCTGTATATGGCTTTTATATTTTGTTATGTTTAGAAAAAATTACAAAATAATTCACCCATTGTCATGTATCATTCTTGAACTTTGTTTTAGGACACTACCAAAGAACTCAATGACATATTAACAATAAAATAATAATATTACTTTTTACCATTTACTTTTTACCTAGCACATAGTAGGTAAATTTGCTCTATTTGAATCAACTCTAATCATTATAACTATAGGGAGGTGATGGTATTCCAATTCTACAGATGATGATATTGAGGCTCAGGGAAGGCAAAAAAACTTGCCTTAACTGCATAGCCAGTAGTTATCCAGCTTGAGCTACCTCAGAATCCCATAGCTTGTGAATCCCCTGGCTGTTAAGGCACAGATTTCTGGGCCCCGCCCCTAGGTTCAGTAGATGTATTAATTTCCTATTGCTGCTACAATAAATAACCACAAAATTAGTGGCCTAAATAACATTAATGTATTATCTCACGGTTCTGAAGGATAAAAATCTGACATGAGTCAGCTAATTAGCAATTTTAATTCCATCTGCAACCCTAATTCCCCTTTGTCATATAACCTAATATTTTCAAAGGTTCAGAGAATTAGGATGTGGACGCCTTGAGGGGGGCATTATTCTGCTTACCACAGTAGGTCTGGGGGACCTGAGTCTCTGCATTTCGAGCAAGTTCTGAGGTGAGGCTGGTGCTGCTGGTCTGGGGGCCACACTTTGAGAAGCTCTGGTCTAAGGGATGAGATGGGATTCTGTCTCGAGTGTTTCTAGCTACAGAGCCTCCATGGCCACCTCTTTTCCTAAACAGGTGCACATTCTTATTTACATAATGGCAGAGCAAGTCTTGTAGAGGCTTTTAAATCGATCCAAAGCCACCTCTTGGTTCTGGGAAGGGGATCTGCCCTAAGGATGACTCATGATGCCTGAGATGGGTCACTGGGCTCTGCAAGACTTAAGGAAAGGATGTATACCAGAAACACGGACTCAAAGGCTGCGGACTTCCTCATGTCCACTCTGCTAACATCCGCGCCCCTTGCCGCTCCATACTGGCCTCACTCTTCTTACAGCTGGTCCCCAGCTCCAGGTCCTCTATGTCCCTGCCCAACATGGATGCTCTGGCCACATACCCGGTCAATAGCTTCGGGCCTCTGCCTCTTCTGTCTCTTCAAGCAGCTCCACCCAGGGATTTACCACTTTGTTTTAAATCCCCTTCATCCTTTGAAGGCAAACCCTTAGTCCTTCTGAATATTTCAGAAGCATCACACACACACAAAACTTGACATTTAACCTTCAGTTACATTTCCAGGTACTTAAACTTACTAATGGTCTTACAGTCCTTAGACTCTATTAAGTCCTCACATTCTGGCCTTTGCACAGACTCCAGACTGCCCAACAGAGTACTAGCCTGTGAAGCATTAGAACTCGGTTCACACAGAATGGCTAAGTGCCTGCCCATGTTATATCTCCCTCTTTTCTGTGATCACAGAGGTGAATATGCGCTGGCTGAATACACAGAAGTGAAAACTGTCACCATCAAACTCGACGACAAGGACCCCTGAAGGAAAGGCAGGCTCCTTCCTCAAACATCTGACAGCTGAATGTGGCAGATCTAACTTGCTGAAGAGAAACCTACATTCTGACCTTCCTGGGGTGCTTTCTTCTGGAGACTTTAAATCTACTGGATTTGAACGATTTCTATTTTCCTCTCACACTCCTGTTTCATTGACCAAAATGTTGTGTGTGAAATTGTAGTCCTGCTTGGGGATGGGACTAGTGGCCATTTCTGTTTTCCACTTTCCACCAGATCCTGGGGACAGTAAGGAGGCTCAGGGTGTTGTCAACAGGAAGTGGTATTTGAAGTATCGAGCAGTAGCTTAAAAATGCTTTGTTGACTCTGACTCCAGTAAGAATTTGGAAAAACAAAATCCCTGCGTGTTCTGCAAACAGGGCTCTGTACCTGCGGGTTCCTCAGGGTTACCTGCCCACAAAACAAGCCCCTCCTACCATTCAGTGGGAAGGAATAGCAGTAAGTTTAAAAAAAAGTTAAAAACAAGGTTGGGAGTATCAGATGTGGGGAGCCTTGGGGAAGCACGTACCATGGAAGGGTCCTGAAGGCCTTGGATGTGAATGGTCTTCAAGGACTGTATCTTGACATTGACAATGGAACTCAGCTTAAAACCAATACTGCCTTTGGAATGTGACCAAATCAACAGCCCAAAGAGCTTATCTAATGCTATGTCATTGTCTACCTTAACCAAGGCACTTTCTTAGGCAGGAAATGTCGCTAGTGTCACCATCGCTGCTAAAGACCCAGTGCTCTAACACTACAACAGTATAGCAAATCCTAGGATCATTAAGTCCCACATTTTACAAATTAGAGCCATAATTTGCTTTTCCCAATTATGCATTTCTACCACTTGCCTATGTAGTTTTCCTTTTCTCCAGTTGGGGTATCAACACTTTAGTAAGACGTACACAACTGAAAAGACTGCTGTTATAATACAGCCCTGGTTTTTCAAAGTCCTACTTTGATATTAATTAGTGATTGATTAACAAATAACATCTGGACTTCATGGAGGAACTGGGTCTGCTACTGCAGTGGCCTGAGCACAGCAATAACAGGTTGTGAATTTTTCTTTTCCTCTTTGTGTATCCAAAGGATGTGCAATTCCAAGTTTTAACTTGGAAAACTGAAAGTGTTCCCATATAGCTTTAAAAACACAAAACCAAACTGAAATTGTGTTATTCAGATACTTTTACTAACTAGTACTTTTCTAACGGTGCTTATGTTTGAGAATTAAGTTATGTTTGAGAATTAAATTGGGGCGGCAGTAATAAAATGGAGGTCAGTGTCAAAACCAGTGTATGTATAGAGAAAGTCTTAGGTGAAGTGAGGTTATCATTCTTGTTGGAAATATGCACTATGCAATTCACCTTCTCTCAATCAGTTAACACATCACTTAGACTACCAGTCACGTGTTAAATCAGGATTTGACTTCATACACTGAATTTTCAGGATTTTATCTCAAGTAACTATAAACACTAACCTTGATAATAATACATTAGAGGGTTCTTATTCTTTCATTGTACAATAATGCCTTTAATATGAAATGCTACATTATTTATAATTGGTATAATGTATCTTTTTATAGTTGTAAGTAAACAGAGGTGATGTATTTAACCTTCTGTAATATACTGTATTTATCTATATAGTATTAGATTTCACTTCTGTTAAGGTTTACTCCTGTGGTATGGTTTAAAAAATCTACTGGCCTGGGAATTCTGACCCTAACTGCAGATTGTGTTCAGCAATGCAACAACTACAAAATAAAATCAGATATTTGAGAAAATTATGTTTTTTCATTTAAAGATCAGACCCCTTTTCATTCTGAGGCTGACCTTTTTCTTAGAACTTTGGTACAAAATGGCTTGTAATAAAGTGGTATCAATCACTTAAGGACAAAATTACATTTGCTCAATCCATCAAGTTGCACTCTTAGCTTGAGTGTGAAACTCACTTCTATGGTTTTGGGGGTGGACCAGGCAGCAAGCTTGGCCTCAGAGGCTCTGCATCTTAGTTGGTGAAGTTGAAGCTGTCATCTGAGCTGACTCAGTCCCTTTTTATCATAAAGTGATGAGGAGATGTGAGTGTGGCAAATGGTGGGGAAGATTGCATGGGGATTTAGGGAAGACACTGTATCCTGCAACTGTGTGCACAAGCATCCATTTTTGCCACTTTTTTCCACGAGGATCTCGGTGCCTGGGTTTAACTTACCTAAAGTTTCTAAGGCTTCAAATCAGTAAGCCTCAATCACCAAGTCATATGCTGACACTGAAGTTGGATCGAGAATATTCCTGTACTTGGTTAGGTCCACCAAGTTCAACCATGCCTGTCGTATTGAGAGTCCATATCATTTTGGCCATGTAGAGGTAAAGCTCCACCCTTTCAGAGAAAATTTAAGGGAGGCTTGGATCAGATCCCTTTTAATATATGCACTTGTGTATGCTTTAATGCATTTAGAAACCTCCCATTTCCCAATCAAAATGTGAGCAGAAAATTCAAGGAAAATGGCATTACCTTCATTTGGTTTACCATGAAGTTTTACCATGAAGGTAACCATTCTGAGGACATATACTGGCTGTGGTGTGTGTACATGTGTGTGTGTACATGCCTGCCCTTGTGTGCCTGTCGGGGTGGGGCACAGTAGGTTGGCACATTCTCTAAAAGTGGACCCTTTGGAATGCCCTAGCTTCTCCTGATGGTGGACCAAGCCCTTTTAATGTTCTTGCTCCTAGCATGTGGTTGACTTGAGCTTGAAGGTGGATAATTAGGGACATTTTTTAAGTGTCCAAGGAGAAATGTCTGAGGAAACAGAATACCCAGATGAAGGGAGGTGACTAGAAGAACTGAGGGGTCAGTCAATCACTACACCTTCAGAAAGCAGAAAGGGCAGGTCAGGGAGGTAGCTTCCAACTGACCCCACCTTAGGAGGAGTCAATCCAACATGAGATGCTGGTCAGCAGGGGTCAAGAAGCAGAAAGAAATCTTAACTGACCTGTAGCAGTCACCTCATGCAAACCTGTAACACATGCCAATGGATAGAGTTAAATGCTGGGATACAACCAGCTCAAAACAGGCCACCCATGTGACAAGTGTCCTGGCTATTTTCTACAGTGGAGACATTTCCAAGCCGATTCCCAAGCTCATTTAAAAGGGGAATTGGGGCTTCCCTGGTGGCGCAGTGGTTGAGAGTCTGATGCAGGGGACACGGTTTCATGCCCCGGTCTGGGAAGATCCCACATGCCACGGAGCTGCTGGGCCTGTGAGCCATGGCTGCTGAGCCTGCACATCCGGAGCCTGTGCTCCACAACGGGAGAGGCCACAGCAGTGAGAGGCCCGCATACGAAAAAAAAAAAAGGAAATTGCCCTGAGAAAACCATAATTCAAAAAGAGTCATGTACCACAATGTTCATTGCAGCACTATTTACAATAGCCAGGACATGGAAGCAACCTAAGTGTCCATCAACAGATGAATGGATAAAGAAGATGTGGCACATATATACAATGGAATATTACTCAGCCATAAAAAGAAACAAAATTGAGTGATTTGTAGTGAGGTGGATAGACCTAGAGTCTGTCATACAATGTGAAGTAAGTCAGAAGGAGAAAAACAAACACCGTATGCTAACACATATATATGGAATCTAAGGGGAAAAAAATGGTTCTGAAGAACCTAGGGGCAGGACAGGAATAAAGACGCAGACGCAGGAATGGACTTGAGGACACGGGGAGGGGACGGGTAAGCACGGATGAAATGAGAGAGTGCCATGGACTTATATATACTACCAAATGTAAAATAGATAGCTAGTGGAAAGCAGCCGCATAGCACAGGGAGATCAGCTCGGTGCTTTGTGACCACCTAGAGGGGTGGGATAGGGAGGGTGGGAGGGAGACGCAAGAGAGAGGAGATATGGGGATATATGTATATGTACAGCTGATTCACTGTTATAAAGCAGAAACTAACACATCATTGTAAAGCAATTATACTCCAATAAAGATGTTTAAATAAATAAATAAAATAAGAGGGAAATTGAATTGCCCCCATCCCCGTGGGCTATGTCAGCTCCCTGGTCATCGCACTGGGCGTGCGCTTCCTCACGGTATCGCTAGATGGCAGAGCCGCGCGCCTTGCAGGGGGCGCCTCACCGCCATCGCCGGGCTCACCCAGAACCGTGGACGCCACGCCCTGCAATTTATTAGGGACTTTTCGGTAGCAATCATACTGCCTCCTTTTGCATACTGGAATTAGAACCGCAGTGGTGAGGGCAGGATTGCAAAACTGCACCCACACTTTTGGAAGGGCGTCTGGTCTAGGAGAGCTGGAGGGGCAGCCTCTAGGGAGCAAAGCTAAGCTGCCCCATGGCCCCCTCGGCAAACAGGGGCCCAAGGAGCTTGTCCAAGTGGTCACTGCCTGGATTATCTGCAAGGTCATAGGTGGAGGTGGGGGTGGGGGTGGGGCTGCAGCTGCCCGGCTTTTGTGAAATAGCAGTGGTGGCAATTTGTCTCTGTTCCTTGAGAATGTTCCAGTCATAACATTACATAGGAGGAGCCTGGGGTGCGGGTCCTGCCAGGGTGCAGAACCATCCGCTTTTTTCCAAGCAGGTTTCTCTCTCCCCGGTGGGCACGTGGAGCCGAATCCGATGCCTGCCTGCAAGCATGGACGTGCATCTTTATGATCTGCGTTTGGATAATGGCCTCAATCGTGGTAACATACTTATATTAGGTTGAAACATAATAAATTGCCTACACTCCCTCATGTTTGTCTACCACACCACCCACCAAAAAAAACCCAATTTAAAATGATTCACCAGTGACATCTTTGTATATATCCATAATTAAAGGTTCCACCTTCCACCAAACTGGAATAGTTTGCAAACTATTAAAGCTTTAAAATTACATATTTCTAGTCTGCTCTATAAAGAGGTGTACACAAATGAAAATTCCCGTCTTTTTAATATTTACTGCCAGAATCTACGACCCACATATACTAGTCAGAAGTTCATCAGCGAATCTTGCTGCTGAGCGGAACAGAGGGCCAGGGAAAGCGGGGTTGAGCCGAAAACCAACCAATCTCACCGCTGCTCCTGCCCCGCGTGGAGAGCAGGGTACCCAAACTTGGAGGAGACCTCGCGCTAGAAGGTCTCCCGCGGGCCCTGTGGTCACCCGGGCGGGAGCAGTGAGTGTGATCACCCGGGGTTTACGGTGAGGGAAACTGAGGCTGGCGGCCGCAGGGACTCCTCGTGCCCATTGTGGGGAGGCCTCTCAGCGGCTGACCCTCGCCCCGCTCGCTCTTCGCGCCGCCCGCCGCCCGCCCTCCTCAGGATTGAGGAAGTGCGTCTGGCCCGGCCCGGCCCCGGCGCGCGGCCCGAGGCGCAGGGGCGGAGGGCAGAGGGGCTGCCTGGCCCCGATCCGCCGCTGTCCTCCCGGTCCGCGCGCAGCCCCGCGTCCCAGGCGCCCGCGGCCCTGCCCGCAGTCGCCTCA